CACGTGACACGGCAAGCGCTGTCGTTGACGCGATTATTAAACCATTAATCTCATAGATATAAGAAAAATAGGGGATATGGCATTTGGTCACGTGATCTGAAGTCAAGTGTTTCTCAAATATGGCGACGACTCCACCCACAAGAAGTAGCGTTGTTTTTGTCGATATTTTCAGTATCGATGCTATATAAATTATGACGTATTGTCCATCTCTTAAGTATATATTAAATAAACAAATATTAGATCACTACACTATTGCATTGCGTTAATCCTGTAATAATAGTTGTATTGAGATGATAAATAAATAAATCTTACGTTCAACTCAGAATAGGAAAAATTTTAAACTGTAATTGCTTTAAGATATGGTGAAGCAACAGTCAAAAGTGAGCGAAGAGACCAAGGAAAGAGCACTTGATTGGAGCTTTAACTCTTTTCTTTTCAGAACACGTATACGACGTGCACCAGAATATTATACTGAGTTCGTGCAACGAGCTAACGTTTTTTCGTAACGTCGGCAATCTGCACATAAGCACTCCATCCGTGCGTCCCTGGGTCGATGCATGCATTTTTTTTCTCTTCTGCAGAGATTAACGAAACCACCACTATAGGCAATGTATTAGGCTTCGTATGATTTTTTTGTCCAGCCCATGCTGTCCCACTAGGCAGAAGTCTCCCCTAAGTTTTTCTCAACGGTATGCGTCCAGGTTGCGTGAATTATATCATATATATAGACTTTATAGCAGCTGGGAAGTTAGTTGCGAGCGCAAGTCCTGTACCTTCACGCTTCGCTTTACGTACCGTGACCTGAGACACCATCAAGTTTTCTTTCAACTATATCTGCACGGACTAGCGCTAGCTCTTATCTTCCAAGCTGCCATAAAGATTCGACAACACCTTTCTTTCGTGGTAATGGTCGGTTACCAGTTCAAGTCACCATGAACGTGCAGTAGACTGACCTTTATCTTGATTTATTTAAAGTTTGTGGAGCATGTGTTCTTTCATACATAGTTAGTAGCCGTCATTTCTCTTTTTTTTTTGATAATAAAGATTATTTATTTATTTATTTCAGTAATCTAATCGAGTTGAGCAGACCCTTTCTAACCATACCACCGTTTACACAATCCATTAATCATTTAACTATCCTAACGTATTAATCAATCTTCAGCATTCCATGTTCATACCATATGACAACCAATTTCCATGCAACATTTCGATCAATAGGGATGGCTGGACCACTAGACTTCCACTTCCATACTCATTTCTCATTATATCCCATTTGTGTAACACCACAAAATATCAATTTTATAGTGTTTACAACCTGCAAGTTGTAATGACTTCCACCAGTAGCGTAATTAGTGGTGGATACTGGAGGTAAACGAGAGAGTAAGGATTAAAAATAAATAAAATAACAATAATGTATACTGATTAAAATCATTTATTCGTGACAAAATAATATTATTTAGTCAGAAAATTTATTTTAGACCCATGAACCAAATCACCCTTAAGCCGAACTACATCCAGCGTTCTATTTATACATTTTTTTTTTTCAAAATGCAAGGAGCATATTCTTCTTACTACTGCAGGTTTTATGTTTACCTGGCCTATATTATCAATCCACAATTTTTGAAGGCCTTCATTTTTTGGCAATCTAAAATAAATATTATGCATCCTTAAGTACCAATCAAAAATAATCTTAACATCATCAAATCTTTTGATGAAAAAACCTACTATAGAAAATTTACAATTTACACTATTTTCAAGTTCTTTTCTTAAATGAAAGGCTCTCAATCGATCGTTTGATTAAATATACAGTTTACGTATCTAAAACGTTAATTGATCATAGGACTACATTAATATTATTGTTAAAATTTATATCGATAATTTCAAAACATGACAGCACATAAGGGCAACACTATGTAAAAATGTAAACAATCAAAATGTTTACTTGTTTAAATTTACATGATAATAGTCATTGGAAATTCTAGATAATAGCGGGAAACACGATTTAGAACCCATAACATGAACACGAAACGCAATTCACACGAAAAAATATACAATTATGGAAAAAATTACAAATAACCTGAAAAATGACAATCCTTCTTCATTTTTACGAGAATGGAACACCCTCTCACAGAATACCAGCGTAAAATAGCAGCTTAACGCTGCTGTGTTTCGTATGGTGAGTGTAGAGAACCGGAGACCCTTTTTACTGGAAAGGAGGCATTCCATCTTAGTCCTCACGGGTGACAACGCATCTGCATTTTGATTCGTAATCGAAGATAGATGTAGATGTCTATGGGCCACAGCAACCACTTACCATCAGGTGGACTGTGTGCTCGTTTGTCACCCTTACCCTATAAAAAAAAAGCTGAGACCCAAAACAACAGTTTTTTAATGTTGTCCAAAAGTTTACCTGTCAAATATATAATGCAAAGAAATCAGTAGATGTAGATGATGGCAGGTTCCATTTTTTTATAAATAATTATAGACCAAAAGATCTCAATAAAAATTTACTAAGAAATTACACTGTTTTGATGGAAGCTCTTTATCACCGTGTAAATGTGAGCTGTATCAGCAATTTTTACGTATGCATTATTATCATATCATATTTAGTATATATATATGTAATTTATATACTAAATATGATATGATAATAATGTTGGATGTTTTTAGTGAGCATTTGGAAAAATGCTCACTAAAACATCCAGTATTATTAGATCTACTGGAGCGCGGCTGGATTGAAGAAAATGATACGTATATATTTAAATGGTTTGACGGAGATCAGTTGCCCAGTTTTGTGAACGAATTAGTCGCAGATCTACCAGGTAATTTTCTTTTATAAGAATTAATAATTTTAAATTATTTATTTTATTATAATTGGCTTGATTTATAAATTGAAACTTATTATTTGCTGAGAATGTAGATTTCGATGGAATTGATGCATCTGACGATGTACCTTTTTTTTATAGGATAGGGTGACAAACGAGCACACAGTCCACCTGATGGTAAGTGGTTGCTGTGGTCCATAGACATCTACATTTATCCTCGTTTGCGAATCAAAATATAGATGCGTTGTCACCCGTAAGGACTAAGATGGAATGCCTCTTTTCCAGTAAAAAGGATCTCCGGTTCTCTGCACTCACCATACGAAACACAGCAGTGTTGAGCTGCTATTTGACGCTGGTATTCTGTGAGAGCGTGGTCCTTCCCCGGTCGAGCCGCCCAATCGTGCTACAACTATACAAATAATATAGCTGCAGCATGGCTCTACCACGTACAACTCCTGAAGGCTACAACTCCGATAGCCAAAAATAATATGATTTGAATATTCTTAAAATTATTGAGTTTTTAATAAAATGCGTAATAAACATTTTCATGAATCAATTAATGTTATTATTATATCATAACATTAAAACATAAACAAATAAATACTATTGTGTGCTTATTCGACATTTATTTATTTTATAACCCGTCTTAATTATTAATTGCAATCAATATGAAACGATCGTATTTACTTTTAATTAATATAATGATTTTTTAAATTGATCTAACAACTGTATTAGAGCGAGCGCTATTATAGTAAACTTTTGGACAACAATAAAAAGCTGTTGTTTTTGGTTCTCAGCTAAATTACTGTCACCAAAAGCTGTAAAGGGTTCTTGGTATGCCTGAGTTTTCTGTAGTAAAGTAAAGGGTCGTTTCTTTCCCTTATTAAAAAAGATGGATTATAATCACAGTCCGTAAAAGCATAGAAACCAAGCAAACTTTCACTCAATAAATCACTACGTTACTCATAAATTTTTGAAATAATTATTAATCGCTCATTATTTCCTGTTCCAGTGATAATCCATACTTGAGAAGAGTTATTTATTTTTTGCCGACTTCCAAATAGGAGACAGTACTCACAGTCTTTTTATGTGGGTAACCTCATAACTTTTTACTGGGTGAACCGATTTCGATTATTCTTTTTTTATTTATAAGCTGATACTTTTCGTGTGGTCTCATACGAATTTTATTAAGGTCAGATCAATAGTTTTTGAGTTATTATTAATAACTTATTTTGAAGTTGGCTGTACAAAATTTTTAACTTTAAATTATTAAATGTAGCATACTATCAAGCATGATTATTATGATATCCGTATCGGAGCGTTTAATACTAGAAAGAAAAAAAACTGGATTAGACCAAGCGCTGTTATAGTACGCGCTTATGGGCGCTCCAGAAGTTTGTTGTCTGCGTGGGTGATACAAGCACAATATGTGTCTGCCGTGAAAATTATATATGACAAATAATATTATCAACAATATATATATATATATAATATATATATATATATATATATATATATATATATATATATATGTGTGTATATAAATTGTAGCTATATTGAAATAACGTAAATTATTAATAAAAAATTGTACTTTTCAACCTGTCTGCCATGACCTTGAAACCGTCATAGGTGTCTGCCAATGGTATTTTTCGGTAACTTTTATTAAATATTTCAAGATTCAGGTATAGGGGATTAACAGTGAAACTTATTGAAATACCGTAAGTCTGCCGCTCACTGGCTCTTAAGATATCTGTGCGCTAGCACTTTTTATTAGTTAGTGGCACAGAGTACCTTTGTATAAAGTCACACCTCTAGAATATATAATCACTTCTAACTAGCTACCATAGATTATTGTTTACATACCAGTACCAGAGACTTGCTACTATTATTTATCTATGATCACTACGGCAAACCATAGATAAGAGCGTAACGACAAACGTCACCTTCACAGATAACTGTATACTAGTCAGAGATCGTAGACTGGTATACAGTAATCTGTGGTCAGAGAGTCACCTGGAGTCACCTTAAACCCCGCCTAAGACGCCCATTACACGCCTAGGCAAGCGTCAATCAGTTCGATCCATCATGACTCAGGTTTGAATGATGGAATAATTTGGACATTACACGCTCATGCTGACTGATCGTCAGTCAAACCCAAACTTTCGGAGGGAAAGGATGGATAATCATAAGAAAAAGGCCTGTGCTGCAATTTTGATTGCAATTTTGTGTAAAAAACGTACAAAAAGAAGACGCTGGGTAAAAGACTGGCTTTTAAAAAGGGATTTCTATACCCATATTAACTTATTGACTGACATACGGATTTCAAAAGAGGACAAAGATTATGAAAACTATTTTCGCATGAAAGAGGCTTGTTTTGATAAGTTACTGGTCTTGGTAACACCATATCTAAAAAAACAAGATACATGTATGCGAAAAGCAATAACTCCCGAAGAAAAGCTAGCAGCAACGTTGCGATATCTCGCTACTGGTAGAAGTATTGAAGACATGAAGTTTTCAGTAATCATGTCACCAGCTGCTATTTCTGAAGCAATTATGGATACATGTCGGGCAATTATTTACGTTTTACAGGACTATATGAAGGTAAGTAAAAAAATAAAAACTACATTTCAATATATTTATGTCGCACTTTAATCTTGGCAATAATTATTTTAGTACATACAAAGTTATTGTGATGTCAAAATTGTTTTAACAGATGTTCGACCGCGGTTCTCAATACGATTATGAAACATTTTGTAAATGACTAAAAAAATTATTACAACAATTTTTTCATAATCATGTTAGTAACTGCGGTCAACCCTCAGGTCCTAATTAATTTAAAAATTAAGGTTTAAAATGAGAAAAGAGTGAAACTATGTTATTGCTTTTATTTTGATAACGTGATGGAGATGGTGTGATATTGGGATCATTTGGAATATGTAATATGTATTCCTTTGAAGTGGAAGCAGGTATTTGAGATGGTTGATCTAGATTATAGTTAGCATTTAAAATTATTTGTGAAGGCGTGCCTCTTTGCAAAGATGTGAAATTATATGGTGTAGTACTAATAGTATGTCCGCTATGTTGTTGAGATGATATTTGATGTGACGTCTGCGAAGTTGTGTGTTGAAGTGAATACAAGGGTTGAGCGGCAGGAGATGTTAGTGTTTGTTGTGATAAGGGCGATAGTGGAGGTGGCGGAGATGTTAATGTAGAATCTGAATATGGACTGTAATGTTGCGAATTAATATTGAAGGTCACAGAAGCCGTATCTTGAGGTGAAGACAACGGTAGAGAAGCAGGAGATGGTGTTTGCATGGATGAGGGCGGTGGTGGAGGAGGTGGTGTTAATGTAGTAAATGTTTTTACGGAATCTCTGTTTAAATTACCAAGCTCTGCTTCGAATAAAATGTCATTGATTGCTTTTTTTGCATATAGTCTTTGTATGGGATCTAGTCTTTCTAGTGTGTTGGACCACTCCAATGCAATTGGGTTCGTTAAATTTACATTTTGATTAGTATGGGTATTGCAAGGTTCACTCAAATATCTACATGCCCTATCTATCAACTCTTCGTAGTTCAGTTTTTTCTTTTTTTGTGAAGATACATATGGCTTGGGTGCTGCAGATATCGATGAAAATGATCTTACTTCATTATTTTGGTTTGATTGTTGATGCTCACTGCCTTCCTGATTAATTTGTTCTGTTTCTGATGTTAGTGGCTCCTGTAAACAATAAATATTTGTCATAGTATTACTTACAAAAAAAATCTGTCTAATTTCAGATACCGTCATCAGAAATGGAGTGGAAAATGATTGCAAGAGATTTTGGAGAAAAATATCAATTTTGGAATTGCCTCGGTGCGCTAGACGGCAAACATGTTGCTATTCAAAAACCACGGCTATCGGGCTCTTTATATTACAATTATAAAGGATATTTCAGCATTGTTCTCATGGCACTTGCAAATGCAAGGAAAGAATTTATAATGATTGATGTTGGAGCGAATGGCCGAGTTTCTGATGGTGGAGTGTTATTCTACACAAAATTCTGGGAATTATATCAACAAAGAAGCTTATTCTTACCACAACCAGGCACATTACCGAGTACATCAGATATTTTCCCCTTTGTTTTCATTGGGGATGAGGCTTTTGCATTAGGTGAAAATCTGATGAAGCCTTATCCTCAATATGCTTGTAACAATGAACAAAAAACATTTAACTACAGACTCTCTCGTGCTCGTTCTGTTGTTGAATGCGCTTTTGGGATACTACGTACAAAATTCGGAGTTTTCCAAAAAAACATCAATTTCGAACCCAGTAAAGCTGCATTAATAGTAGCAACATCTTGCTACTTACATAATTACTTGATTAAAACCTCTCGGAAACAATACTTGACATCAAGCTGGAAAGTTGAAACACAAAGCAGTGAGCAATTATTGGATTTAGAGCCTACTAATAACAGAAATCCTTCTAGAGACGCAAAAATGATAAGACAAAAATTTTGTCATTATTTTAATAATGAAGGAAAACTATTGTAACTATCGGTATTTCGTTGTTAATTACCTAGTGCTGATTTATTAAAGATACGTCCCATGTAAATTTCGTTAAGGATTATTGAATATTTGATGGAATAAATAAATATTATATAAAGATTATATCTACTTGTTTAATTTAATACACTAATAAAGATTATTACTTTTTTACGTATAGGTTTAGGTAGAATTGAAGCAACTTTATTGATGTCTCGATTCATTGTAAATAAATATTTGCATTTACTTATCAAAAATTGGCTAAATCACAGTATTGAGGACAGCTTGAAACAATTCGGTTATAACGCCTACACTAATGGTTCATACTAAATAATTGACGAAAGTTTTGCTTTTACATTTCTGAAAGGCGCTTATTAAGTTATAAAACGTGACTGTTAATTATTTTTTAATTAATTGTAATAGGTAAAACAATATATACATAAAATATTACCTGGTTTAACTGATTGGATTCTTGTAATAGAGCAACAGGTTGTTCCAATTTTCTTAAAAAATGTAGGTACGGGAAATACCAAATTTTGGGATTGTAAATATCGTCTGCCCCTGCGCCAGACCTTTTGGATGCTACAATTTTTTTTAATTCTCGGCGGTAGTTGGATCTGATTGAATTAATTTTTTTCTTCACATCATCTATGGTAGCGTCTTTCTTAATTTTTCTCAAAATGGGTAGCAACTTCGCCAAGTTTTCATTTCTGCAATCAAATCTTACCTTTAATTTTGGTAGCGATGTTTGGTAAATAAAATATATACCTACTTATAAACTAAGTTCATTTTCAATTCACCATTTAACTGTAATTTAATATTTTGAAAAGAAAAAAAAAGGAATAGGAAAAATTGTAATATTTAATATAATTTTACCGCCAATTTTGCGCGCCAATGTTCGACCTCTTGGAGCGCATAATCAATACGCGGCTTTATTTGAAACGCATTTATTTATTTAGATAGCTTTAGGACGAAAAATAAGCTTACCTTTTATATTTATTCGTATACCCGGGGTTTTTCGTGTCCCACAACTCGGGGAGAGCCTCAAAATTTAAAATAAAGTCTTTTTCTGGCTGAAGCACATTTGGCGGGAGTGGCGACGGACTGCGCGAGCGCGTGAAACCCGCCTCTTCAATATATTCTGCGTCCGCCTCCATTGCTGTCTGAGCGTTGACTGACGCGTGATTGGTGAAATGCCATTACACGTTAAATCAAAATTCGTGACTGAATAGTTGATTGACGTAAAAATCAAAATATCCAGATATTTGTCAATCAATTTCATGCAACTGTCAATAACTACATTACACGATAGGTTATTCGTCAATCACAACCGTGATTGTTGTAAAACTGACAGCAAAACCTACCGTGTAATGGACGTCTAAGGGTATTAGTGTTCTGTGCCTTAAACACGCCGCTAGACGGTAAAGTTAAATTTTATTTCATTTAATTTTAAAATAAGCCATTGGCGGACAGTGCAGTGATTCAATATTTAGAATAAATTTTTGTGGTCGGCAAATTTCAATCTACGGTAAACACCAGTAATTAGAGAGCATAACATCCCCGCAAAAATTGTAGTAACTCAATCCAGTTCCATATTTACTTCTTTGAGTCATTGTTAAATTATATTTCTTCTATGGAGGTTAGCAATAAAATTATACCTCCCCATCTTAACGCTGAAGTTTACAGAACGGATACGACCGGTACCAGTACACTGTCATATTTGGATTATATTCGAATTCATCCAGGTGAGCAAAATATATTATCCTTGTCTGCTATCTCATTTATTATTTAATTCTTTTCTCCTTTAAGTGAGGCTATTAGCTAAATTGAGGAGGCCGGACTAAAACTTCAATAACCCTGAAGATTTAGCTAAAATCAAGTTTTATTGTCATCTTTGAAACAATAATAAAATCAGTTTGCATTTTTATTTGTTAACTAGTTTTTTCCCGCGTCGTTGTTCGCGTGAAGATGGTGACATAAGAACAGTCTGTGTTAAATATTCACCTTTTTAATATAAGATGAGGTGATAAGAGGGCTGGTTCTTTCCTCGCTCAAAGGCTAAGTGTAGCCATTCAGCGGGGAAACGCAGCCAGCGTTCTTGGCACGATACCGCGGGGAGTAGGACTATATGATAATTAAGTTTCTAGTTTTAGTTTTTTTTTTATTATCATAGTTTTTAATATTGTAGATAAAATTAAGTATTATGTAAAATTTTAATATCTATAATTATTATTACCCTGTACTGCAACTTTGTCTGCAAATTAGTTGAAAATAATATTGTTGTTGCTAAAACCCAACACAGAATGTCATAATTTTAAGACGGTTATGCCTACAATTTCTTTCATATGAACTTCAAATTGTTGATGATATGATATTAACACATTCAGTGCCACAGACTCGCCCGGAGAGTTCACGTAAATCTTATTCCAGTGTCACAGACTCGTCTGGCGAGTTCAGTGTTTTTCACTAATATTTCCAAAATGTATCCGTATTTTCTGCATAAAATTATAGTTTAGACTAAATATATGCTAAACTAAAGATTTATGTGGTGGGCCGGGTGTGGAGACTCCGTTTAAATTTGAAAGGAAACAAACTATTCTGCAATGCCTTGAACTCGCTAGGCGAGTTCCCTGACATAGATCCTCAACCATTTACATGTTAGATAACGACGTCAACATAGTAGCATGGACTACCTACATACTTGTGATATGGAACTAATATGCAACAAACTAGTTTCATTAGAATAAAAAACAAGCTTTAGAAATACAAAGTTATCCTAATATTTGAGATCACATATCTAGTAGCCATATTATAAATCTTGTAGCTTTGTAATAGGGTTGAAAATGAATATAAAAAAAAGGGTCGGCATTGTAAAAACAGCCGACAAAAAAATACGTGTAAATGTGTTTGAAGAACAAAAGCACTGATAACATTGTTTTTACAAAGCTCTCATTGGCTAATGTTAAATCGCACTCCAAGAATGCACTTGCAACTAAATATTTCGTCCATTTTAATGGGCAGATTTTAAACGTTTTAAAAAACGATTTTATTTAAATTGTTATCAATTAAATTCGTCGTATTCACAATAAAAATAATACATACCATATTCTTTAAATTGAAAGCCCGTATTATAATAATAATCGTTTATTTCCAATCAAAAGTAGATAAAGAATGTGTGTGGGCGGGCGTGCGTGCGTGTTGTTGTTGTTGTTGTTCTCGAATAAGTTCCTTAAACATTCGATTAACATCAATTTTAAATGTATCGAATTCATCCTCACGCTTCCTTTTGGTACGGTAAGCTGTTTGGCTGGCCATCGGAATCGGAATAAATATTTGGGTCTGAATGGCAGTGTTTGCGATGTAAAGTTGATGGCCGCCGTCGAGACGTAGGTGTCGGTCGCGCTAGTAGCTTTTATTTTATCCAAAGAGTTTTTTGCCATTTTTACAAGCCGAATAGTCTTGAAACACTTTTTAATTGCGTTAAACACGTTAAGTACACTGTGACGGCCACAAAAATTACAAAACATAGAATTTACCCTTACTTAGTGCCAGTGAACTCGCGTGGCGAGTCGATTCAATTTATATTGCAGTGCCGGCGACTCGCCTGGCGAGTCAACCGTAAAGTAGAAGGCATCCGAGAAGACATCATGAAAATCGTAGTGGTGATGAATATGTAAAATCATACTACTGCAATAGTACCTAAAGTATGTTGCTTATTTATCACTAACTTACCAACAAAGCACTTTTCACTCCGCAAGGCAGGTATGCATATGGAGAGAATAGGGAGTGCACAGGTTCTTGTGCATACATTTGATCACTATAATCCTGTACTGTGCAGAAAGCTAGTCTTGGTTGAGACAGGCAATTGTGACCATAATTTGGTCTAGAGGACATTAAGTGTGTGTATTACTCAAAGAATAAAAACCGTAGCATGGCTGAAGGCAGTAATACAAGAACTGGCTGATTAAAGGATGGATTTTGAAGTTTTCCACAACATAAAAAATTGGGGGATTATAAGTAAAATTGATGTGCAAATGATATTGTACGATTTATTATTTTCTGTCAGCACATAGGGGAGCCTCCTTAATTTTTTAATTTATTTTTATTATTGTTTGTTATAGCGGCAACAGAAACACACATTCTATGAAAATTTCAACTGTTTACCTATTACAGATCATGAGATACAGCCTGCTGACAAACAGACCGACAGACAGCGGAGGCTTAGTAGGGTGCCATTGATTACTCTCCGGGTATGAAACCCTAAAAGTAGCCTTAGAAAATAAAAGCCTGATTAACATGCTTCCCTCATCTATTTTAATTAATAAGACATATTATTTATTAAAGATTACACTCAAATCAACTAATGGCCCATTGTGTGCTATCTTATTCTATATTTTTGTATTATTTTCCTTGTTATAGATGGAACAGTTTTAATTGGATGTTCAGAATTAACTGGCCGTTATTGGAATGGAGGTGTAAATATATTTAAAAATGGACCAAGTGGAGATAATTTTATTAAAGAAGCAAAGAAAAATATTAACCTTACAAGTGGAACTGCAGATGGGTGTTTTATAGAAAATTCAAATAAAGTAATTTATTCAAATACAATACCTAAGTCATTGTTTCAATTATTTTATAATATTTTATTTTTTATACTTTTATTTTGATCATTTTAATAAATAAGAATAAAAAAGTAATTTTGACACTATTTTATATCTCATTTTGAACAGAAACCTGTTCTGAAAAACAAATGTTTTGTCAATATTATTTTTGATGTTTCTTTTTAATCCTGGTTGCCGACAACATAATTTGTGCTTTCAGGTTTTTTTATGTGAAGACAGTGGTGCAGTAAGTATATGGACAACAAATGATGATGCATGGAAACAGTGGAATGAAGAGTTGTCAGTGGCAGAACATGATGATGCAGTACTAGCTGTTGAGTGCTTAAGCCCTGGCAAGGAATATATCACTGCTGGTGGAGATGGCAATGTTAAGGTACATTATAATTTTAGAGCAGTGGTTTTTATTTTTTAACCCTTTGGTCTTACTTTTAGAGGAAGTCCAATAAAATAAGTTAAATGATGGTTATGAAAATATTAGCAGCATAAAATGTGAGACACCAAGTATTATGACCGCTTATGTCCTTGCCAAGCATGGCAATTCAAAGGCTCCTACAGTCAGAAACGTATGGGACTATTTAGAGATTAGTGATTAGTAAATGATTAGCTTAGGAAATTAGCACTCTGCTGTAAATTACAAAGTACTCGGGCGTTGGATCGCCGCTGGCAAAATAATTGTAAATTGCAATTTTGAGCGCTAATTTACCACATGCTTAATGGTAAAGGATAACATTGTGAAGAAACCTGCATTCCTGATAAAAAAATTGAAGTCATGCAAAAACTAGAAGGAAGTTACCGTAAAACATTATTTTTTAAATTAAATGGTGTGCCAATTAATTGCTCCTTAAATGCTCCCTTAGAACCCGTAATTGCTCCACGTCTATTGCTATTATTTAATTTATAATTAATTTTTTTAAACTTAATTCTCGAAAATTTAATTTTTCTATAAAACATAAAATATATATTTTATTAAATTAAACTTTATGCCAATTAATTTGTCCTTAAATGCTCCCTTAGAATCCGTAATTTCTTCACGTCTTTTACAATTAGTTAATTTATAATTATTTTTTTATAAATTTAAGTATCGAAAATTTAATTTTGCTATAAAACAATATATCTCCTTTTTAAAATTAATCTGCGTCAATTATTTGCTCCTTAAATGCGCTCTTAGAACCCGTATTTGCTCTACGTCTATTAATATTAGTTAATTTATAATTTTATTTTTTGCTTTAAGTGTTGCTCCCAATCTGCTCTATTAATTAAAAACTAAAATACATTTTTGAAATATTTATAACAATTAATATAAAAAACAGAGTGTGTCTTCAAGACACACAATTGATGTGAAACTTTTGTATTACAGGGAAACATTTCAATTATTCATCAATGACTTGAATAGCTTAGATTGTCTATTTGTCATAGATGTCATAGATATATTTATTTAAATTTCATTATTTTTATATCACCCGTAATGAGAAGTAAAGGTATAGCAGAGCGAATCGACAAAATGATTCGTGATGACAACATTTTACAACCTTACTGTTTTAAAGATAGTCTTTATGACTACGCAAAACTCCTCGAGCTATTGAAATAATTATTGCTCATCGCAATCACTCTTGAGGTAGTTAGAATCATTTTAGATAATTAAATTTTAAAAAAATAATTATAAATGAACTAATAAGAATAGACGTTGAACAATTACGGATTCTAAGGGAGCATTTAAAAACAATTAATTGGCATACAGTAAAATTTAAAAAAGTAGATAATTTATGTTTTATAGCAAAATTAAATTTTCTGTAATTATTTTATTTTAATTTATTATAAATTAACTAATAGTAATAGATGTGAAGCAATTACGGATACTAAGAAAGCATTTAACGAGCAATTAATTGGCAAAAAGTTTAATTTAAAAAAATAGATATTTCGTGTTTTACTTATAGCAAAATTAAGTTTTCGATAGTTAAATATAATTATAAATTAATTATTGATAATAGACTTGGAGCAATTACGGATTCTACTGGAGCGTTTAAAAAGTATTTAATTGACATGCAGTTTGATTTAGATAAGTAGATATTTTATGTTTTATAGCAAAATTAAGTTTAAAAAAATTAATTGTAAATTAACTAATAGTAATAGATGTGGAGCAATTACGGATTCTACTGGAGCATTTAAGGAGCAATTAATTGGTATACAGGTTAATTAAAAAGAATAATGTTCTATGCTAACTTCCTTCTGGCCATGCAAAGACTGCTGTAGTAGATATTTTTTTGCCCTAAAGCCCTCTCATTTCTGAGAGGCCTATGCCCGGCAGTGGGACAAGTTATTATTATCTTCCAACGTATCGCGCGCCGCTCGCCAGGAGGCACGTTAACTCCGCAATTCGTACTCGAACTGTTGAAGCGGGCAGTCTGCCGTATTCCTCAAGGTGCTTGAACGTGTGCCGCTTAATGTTTATTGTCTGTCTTTAGCTTAAAACTGAACACCATTAAATATTGAAATTTAAATCATGCATTTTATTGTTTCCATACTGGGAACTTTGATCATATAAAATTTGATGCGGCTTCATCGCCTTTTCTCCGAATGCTGACCTGCTGCTACCTCTGATACGTTGTGCATTTCATCACTAAGCTTGATATCATCACATGCCGCTGGGATATGATGGCTCTTCACTTCAGGCTGGCCCTTCACTTTGGGCCAGCCACGTTCCTCTTAGTTCACAGTGGGTGACTAAGCAATGGCTACTAAGCCTTAAGTCACCACGACAAGACGAGAACCCGTTTGGGAGGAGGGAATGGCTAATATTTAATGACTTAGCCACTGAGTGGCTATTATTTTTTTTTATGATATTGACAAACCTTAGTCTTTATTACAGGTGTGGGATGTTAATGAATTGCTCTGTATAAGAAACTATCATTCCGCTCATACAATGGCTGTCAACACTGTGTCAGTTAGAACCAAATCACAGAAAAATTTTGCAACTGGGTCCTTAGATCAATATATAAGTTTATGGGATGAGAACATTTCTAAACCAGTTTGTGGTTAGTATAAAAACAAAAATTTATTAGATGATAAAACAGTGACTGTGGTGCCCTGGTGACTGACCTGCTTCACAACATTTTGGCGTGAATTCTATGAATGACTTACGTTTCGTTTGGGGGTAATTCCAGAAAAAAATGTGCCACGATAAACGTGTACTTTCAAAAGCGGTAGTAGCCAGTCTTCTACCCACCCCAATTTTTTAAATAATATAAAGAACTAACAGTTCCCTACTGCTGTAGCACATGTATATCTGCAATAAACTTTAAACAAAGAAGGCCTTATAAATATATTGTCCCCAATATTCTTATTTAGTTTTAATTGCCGTCCATATTTTATTTATTAATAATTACAGTTCGTTCGCGTTAAGAAAATTGTGAGATATCGTCCGCCGGTATAGCCATGCCCCCCGACCAATCAGGTCGCCGAAAATTAGAAAGTTAAGTTTGCAGTGACCAGTTGAAGGCAGACATTCGTACGAAACTTTTGTGTCCTTTGAGCGTTATCTATATTAAATCTTAAAAATGAATATATCACCTATTCGTATATATTAAATTTTATCTTTTAAAATATAAATTGTTTGAATTTTTACTCCATTGTGTATACATCTTTACTGTACAGTTGCACTGCTTACTCAATATTTTTTTAGATTGAACGGAATATAGTGATTTTGTTACAAGTTTAGCCATGGTAGCTCAGGGGCTAAAAGCTCGTCGTAACTTTATAAAGTAACCAGGGTTGTCTCTGCCAGCACCAATGAAGTTGAATGAATTGAATCTAATTACTACTACTCTCTTTACCCGCCAATATTACTTCTTATTCTCAAAGTATTATGCTATAAATTATTTTAATATTTTTGTCTTAATTTAATGTTTATATCTGTTATAATATATTTCTTCACCTATTTTTTATTTACTAACAATTTGTTACAATTCAAATCATACATTACAGATGTTATTAAGAACGACTGTGGTATTCGTTGTTTAAGATGGATTGATGAATACCGATTGTTGTTTGGTGATGAAGCTGGTTGGATAAGCCTAGTGGATATTAGAAAACCTGGAGTCTCAGTAAAGCTAGTTGAGTTTCCAGCTGCCGTTCATCAAATAGTAATTCAGTCTGGGTAGGTTTTAATGTTCATTTCTATACTTTACTTAATTTATAGCTTAATAAGAAAAGCTTATTGAATTCGAATGAGGCAGGGCTGTTGAAGCAACAAACTATATAATCAACCTTTGATTTTTGGTCAACGTGTCAACTGTAAACGGCGGATTAACGTTTCGCAATTAACTATTCGTTAAATTAACGAAAAACGAAGGGTGAATACGCTCAAGGCCCTCTACTCCTTGTTCGTGGACGCAACGTGAGTTTGGACATCACCTGTCTCACTAAGAACGTGAGAAAGTACCGACGTGTAGAAAAAGGATGGTGAATGGCAATGTTGATTGCAGCAGATTTTGGATTTATTCGCAGTGTGATGTGAAGAGTTTGTGGCCGGTGGAAGGAAAAGGGGAGATCTCCCGCCGGGCAAGGTGTTCTGCCCGGGGAGCGGCCAACGCTCCGATTGGTAGTTCGGAGCTATTGTATATATGCTGCTTTAACTTCGGAACTTTGTTAGTGCGATTTAAGCTTCGATGTGTTTCGCTTGTGGCGCGACTACAGCGCCGCCACAAGTTACGGGCAATTTAGGAGGTTTTTTGTGGTGAAGCTTACGAGATCATAATTAATATAGTCCAATTTAGTAATATTCCTTATATTTATGCTTTAAAGATAAAGTATAGTTTTTATTGGGCAACATTTCAAATTATTTCTAAATTAGCAACTTGTTGACAATTGCATCATTTAATCTAGAGTTAACCGTTTAAAAAAAATTGACATTAGTTAACACGTCATTTAATTGACGATTTCAACTAGTTACTCGACTAATTGACGATCAAGAGTCAATGGTTTCCTCTCGTTTGTATGGCCTTCGAATAATTGTTCCAAGTCTGGATATGGAATTTGTGCAATGTTAACCTATTCACTGCCTTCCTAAGAAATAACAACATTACCCCCATGCCGCCTTATACTGTTATTCAGCCGGCCCATCGGCGAACCTGGCATCTCGATAAAGTTACTTGGCCCGCCCATCGGCGGTTTCGGCATGAGGCCTTAGATTTCGACGTGAGATATTTTTAATGTCTAATTTACGACGAAATAAATGTATCTTAATCTGCGTATAAGATAGATTTAAGCACGAGCTTAGTACAAGGAAGTCTAAAATGAAATATAAAAGCATACATTTTAGGGCTTTTTTTTCCAAGTCACGCATGACTTGAAAACCAAGCCCCACCAAGTCAACCTTTTTGTATGTTTATTTTCTTTCCCACGTCTTACCTCTTTTGCATTAATTCTTACCTGTGAACGAAATATTCGTTCACAGGTAGGAATTAGGCAGAGGAGATCATAGATAAATAAATATGTAGCAAGCTCAAACACCAAACGAACTTCCAAAACGCTCAGCAAAACTCAAGTTGTGAAAACCAGGAACGTCAAATGCGAGTGATAGCTTTTTTCCGTAGACTATTTTTTTCTGTAACATGCTACTTACGTTAAATCATAAATCATGCAAGTTGTAAAATTATTGGTGTCCATAACAAAAGGTATCGGCACTTCTTTTGTTTTCAAAGTTACTATTACGGACCAGATCCTTATGTTCATATTTGCATTCTTATCTTGTTTCCTATTTACCGACAGTTTATGATCTTATCTGTATTAAACCACAATCCGAAACAGGTCATTAGCCAAAATTAAATTATAAATCATACCGAAAAATTGTATATGATCTAGACATGGAATGAGTACTCGGCCTAGATTGGGCCGAGTACGCTGCCGAATACTCGGCTTTAAAAAAAAGGTAGCGGGCGGCGTGCGGCTATATCCCTTACAAACTAGACCCAAATAGGGCCGAAAAACTAGCGTTTTTTCATCACAATCTTCCTCTCTTAAATTTTAAATATTAATAATAATAATTTCTACTATAGATTCTTATGTAAGTTCTAAATATTTCTGCTGCTTCTCATGTTCCTGATGTTTTAATGTGTCTAATATAATAATAATGATAAAAACTGGCTTTTTGTCAATTTTTCTCTGGGATATAATTAAGGCCGAGTATTCGGTACTCGGCCGAACCCTAAAAAAAGGCCGAATCCGCCGAGAACCGAATTCAAACCGAGTACTCGTCCCATGTCTAATATGGTCGGTGACCAAAACAAAGGTGTCTGCACTTTGTCCGTTTTCAAAGTGACGAATACCGATCGGCTCCTTTTATGTAGATTATCATCTGCATTCTTATCTTGCTTCCTAGGTACCGACAGTATATTACCTTATCTAGAAGGTGTTAAAAAAAGCGGGTAATGCTCTTGTGAAGTGATTTTATTGTTCAAAAACAACAACTTCTTCTATGGGACCTACATTGAAAGCTCAAAGAAAAAAAAATACTTCTCCACACAAACTCGTCTCAGCTGATCGGCGGTTTAGTATGGGGAAGTCAACTTTTTTGAGATTTCGATGTAGATACCATGGAAGAAGTTGTTGTATTTGAGCAATAAAATCATTCCCTAAAGGGATTACCCGCTTTTTTGTAACAACTTGTATATGGTTACGGTTTTATAGTTTTAATAATAAGGTGCAAGGAACAATAACGTTTATATTTTATTATCAGTACATGTAAATATACTTTATAGTTTCTGATTAAAATTTTCACAAAAGGATTGTTAATTCTGAATCCGCGTATAGCCCGCCCATGGGCGGGGGGGCATGACAGGTCAGAATTGTCCCTTTCTAAAATCTTAGATATCCGCAGGCCGTTTTGGTAACGAATCAATCATAATAAAACGAGTTATCAGACAAAAACTTATAATTTTTTCATTTTATTTGACATACTTATTAATGTTTGAAATCCGCCCGCCCTTGGGCGGGTTCGGCATGTGAATAAAAAGGTTTTGCCCACCCATGGGCGGGCAAGGAACTGAATGGGTTAAAGGCCTCCACAATACAGAATAAATTCTATTGTGAATATAACTTTTATTTAATTTTAATTATTCTCTTAACTGGGTGGATTTGGGAATTGTAAATTATATATTTATTTAATTAAAATGTTGATTATTACAGATCAAGTCGAGTTGCAGTTTGCTGTGACAACAAAACTGTTAACGTGTATGAAATACCAGAAGATACAAATATAAGAAACATATATAAAAACGGAAGTATGCATAAAGGTTTTGTAAGAGGCATAGCTTGGGACCTTCATGACAATAATATTTTGTACACTGTGGGATGGGATGGCGAGCTAATTAAGCACTGTATCAGTGAATAAAATATTACACAATCTATGTATCTCTTTTAAGTATATTTTCCCATAAAATACAAAATGTTAGCAGTGGTTTTATTAAAGTTGTTAATAAGCGGTTACAACGAAATCTGTAAGCATCTGAATTTACTCCTCACCTTAAGTCTAGAATTATAGTAGTCAAATTATAAGTCATAAAGGAATTAAATAAGTAAACAAACGAAATTTGGGATGCTGAGAAAAATATTTATTATATGGAATGAAACATTAGCTGAAAGATGAATGGCTAAAGTGTCGGTCAATGTGTGGAGGGTGAACCTGCTCGGCGTTCAGGAGACGGGCAAGGCGACGAGCCCCGCCGCCCTGAAGGGCCCGGGCTTTTCAGACGCACCATCGTATCCAAATGTCGAAATCTAAGAAAATAGAAAAAAAACTAATTATCAAAAAATTTAATACTATACAGGGTTAATTAAGCCCGGTTTCCACCGCTAGCGGAACGGACCCATTAATTACTCTTTTTACCTCGCAATACTTAACTGCATACATGTGTTTCTACCAACAAAGAGTCGAGTGTAAATGACAACGAGGGCGAAAAGAGTAAAAATGAGCTGCGGACTCGGAGCGGAGTCATTAATGAGTCCTTTCAACTCGCAATTGAATTTTACAAAGTAGTGTTTCCACCGAAAAACAATTAAGCGGAGCGGACCATACGAGTAACATGTGTCCGCTGCGTCGCGGTCTCGCCGACTAGTTTGAAACGGACTCGCTCGACGCTGCTGTTTTAAAATTTCAATTTTAAAATTTAAAATTTTAAAATGTCGGCCTTTACAAATGACAAAAGTTCTTGAAATTGTTCTCTGCTAACCCTGTAATAGTTATTAAATTTTTCGTCGTCCAAATTATTGAACAGCCTATATTTCCCTTTCAACGTTTTTTCTCGAATGTGCCAACATAACCAAAATTAATATATACTTTTTCTTTCGGTATACATAATCACTGTCCTCACTTGATTCCATGTCACTCGATAACATCACGAATTCTCACAACAAAACAATACCGCACGTAAGAACCAGTTCAAAACTCCAACTGAACTCGCTCTCGGTGGAAATTGACTATTCATTTCCCATTTCTCATATTCCGTTCAGCTCGCTCCGCTGATTCCTCTCTGTCGTTATCCGTTTGCAGTGGGAAATCAACAGGCAAAACTCTTTGTTGGTGGGAATGCAAACATATTTTGTTTAAAAGGAGTCCGTTCCGCTTACCATTTCCCACTCATTACCCTTCCGCGGTGGAAACCGGGCTTTATTTTGCAATAACCGACCAAATTCGCAGAGAAAGTTCAGAATAAGTAATATAGGCAAATGAAGAAAAACTAATTAAAAAAATCTCGATAATTCTGTCCTTTTTATCTTTTAAATGCAAAATGCGTGGTAATGCATTATTTTATAATGCATTACCACGCGGTAGCGGCAAAATGGCGGACCCCTGTTACCTGTCGAACAAGTACAAGAACGCGTCTCTCAGGCGCTTGGAGTTAGCAAACGAACGATAACAAATATTAATAAAGAAAAGTTCGGCTCTACTGGCACGGAACATAATATTTTACGTACTCTGAAGAAGAAACGTAGAACTAAACCCGTGACAGATATTGACACCTTTGACGCCGATGCAATCAGAAATCATAATATATATGGTTACTATTCCAGAAATGAATATCAACAGGAAGAAGCTTTTGGCATCGTTAAGAGAAGCTAGACTGTTTAGCGGGGGTAAAACTGCTTTAACCAAAATCTTAAAAGATATTGGTTTTTCATTACTAAAATATAAATTTTAAATGATTCCGCCTATTTAAAACGAAAATAATCTTAAAAATAACGCAGCGGTTCATTTTGGAGGAACGGTAACGAACTCAGTGTTATGTTGTGCCCATCACTAGTCGTGACTAACTGATAGGTGTCAGGAACGCATTCTCTGAACGGCCGAACTATAACTGATTTTACTACGCACGTACACATTCGTAAGGTTCGAACGGTAGGTAAAAACGTTAGCCATAAATCACATTCAATTTGGTACAGTTTCAAATAAAAGTAGAAGCCTTATTTACTCGTATTTTCAAAAACTGAGATAACTGTATATCATTATTTATATATTTGACATAAATTTAAAATTTGGTTACTCTGAAAAATAACCCTGTATAGGTACAGTCAAGTAAGATTTCATATTATGCCTGGTTAGAAAATCGTCAGTGTCTTTGAATACTTATAGTGTTTCTGCCATAGAATTATTACGCATAGAATACTAGTACGCGCACCGAAAGTGAAGCAAGTAAAACTAACGCGAAACCGCGTTAGTTGACTCAGCGACGACGCGTCAGTGCGCAACGTCACGTCTTACGGAGAAGAGCTCGCGAAGAATTGTAAAAATTACCGTTTGTGTTGTAAAATATTGTCACAACGGTGATGATAAACATAAAAGAAGTGATGGTATAACATTTCACATATAAGTTTATACATTTAATTCATTATAAGTACGTAAAACTAAAAAAATACTTACCTAAGCTCTCATAATACAAATGTTGCTAGTTGTGGGGAAAAAATCACAATTTTATTTTAAAAATATTTATTTTCTATTTGTGTTTAAAACGTTTAATCGCAACGCTCTGTGTAAAACTCAAATGTTTATATATAGATACCTACTTCTCTAAGTGTTAACATTATATTAACAATGGGTGCCTATTTAAAACTAATACGGAGTAATCAGCTAATCGCGATTCGTCGACGCCATTTTAACGCAACTATTTTATTTTAATTGCTTTGTTTATTGACTAAGGCTAAGTTTTAGAGTATAGAATAAAAAACTTTTTTATTTACAACAGATTATTAATAAGAACGCCTTTGCTAACCAGATGTTACTTTACACCCAAACATTAACCAGATGTTACGTTAGACTCAAACATAGCCTATTTTAACCGACGCCCAAAAAGAAAGGTTATCAATATGTATGTACACTGATTTATAAGCTTGATCAATTCGTATATACATGCTGAAATTTTAGTGGTTGTTGTCCCGCAGCCAAATTATACTGTCTCGATAGTAGAGTCAATTTATTAAATTAAAAAACATTACAATAAAAAAAGGGCAGATTTACAATAGTAATACCTCACAAGCTAGTCGGGCGTCCAGACTAGTTTATTTCGTATCACTACGCTTGAGAGTTCATGTTATGAACATTTAGTGCGATAAACGTAACACAACATTTACGTCCAGTGAATTTTTTTTCAGACTTTATTATAGTAATTCGGTATAAGCTAGCCTGCACGCCCGACCTACTTGCGAGATATTGCTATTGGTTTGTGATCGCATTCGAGTTTTGTTTTTCTCGATTGTAAATCTGCCATTTTTGCATCCTAATAATTTTTATTTTAATAAATCTATTTTACTACTAAGGCAAAATCATTTTACTTCGGGAAAACAACCATTAAAATTTCAGCGTGTATATTGGATCAATCTGTGTGTATATCCTTTCAAATAAAAAATCTAAATCGGTTTAGAAATTGTAGAATTCTGAAGTAAAAAACATTAAAAAAACACACCGAATTGATAACCTCCTCCCTTTTGAAGTCGGTTAAAATTAAACATTACACGATGTGCTTATTATATTCGAGCAAATTAATTGTGTTTAATAATATTCTTAAATTTTATTACGTCTGCATTTTTGTACCGTTAATGTATGTTTAATAAAGATATATTAGTACCATCATTATCGTGTTTATTTTATTCCATTTTATATTCTCATAAAATACATCTTCGTACGTAATACGTAATCTTTATTATATCGATTTTTTAAAATTAATCAAAAAATAGTGATTTGCACAATTTGATTGCAAACGCCAGAAACTGGTATCACTGAATGGCGTGTATGTGTGCGTGTGACCAGCGTAGGCACATTCGACTCGCGCCCACTAACATCATGACTTTGCATCATTTTAACGCTCGTGTTTTGTACGAGACTGCGTTTCTATGCGTAATAATTCTATGGTTTCTGCCTTTGAATCTGTCTGAGTAGTTACCACTCTTATTAAAAGTTCTTATTTACCTTGCAATGTATGTTTGTTAGGGTCAAATCTTGCAACTGAATTTTAAAGCAGTTATCCTAAACCGATTGAGCTGAAATATTGCATAATGCATACATGTTTAGTTTCCAATGCATAGTTGGCTAAGTGACATTATTCAAATTCCAAAATGGCGGACTAGTTATTTTCTATGCACTCCCATGATTTGGATTTGGATATCAAATGAAATGTTGAAAAGAATACGAAAATGAAATGATGTCACTTTAAATCCAATATAGTAGACACCCATATTATTATGGCGGACTATATTTGTTTAAATGGACCCTCATGATATGGATATTAAATGGAAGAGTTCGCTGAGAAGAATGCCAATAAAATAACGTCCGCGTTCAGTTCTTCGAGGAGATGATGTATTACCCGACTAAACGGTAAGACGGTAGGAAGGAAGAAGGAAGGTATTTAACTTAGGCTTTTAGCTCATAATATTATAGTCTGTTAAACCGAAGTAGACTTTGTTTATAGTTTATTTTAATTTTTTATTACTTTTAAATCGTCTTTTTTGCAGTCGGGTTTTTGATTTTTTAAATTATTTATTTTATTTACTAAATGGCAGTACTTGCATTGCGGTGTTCCGTGGTCTGTAGTCCGTTGGTCACTTCAGTTTTAAAAGAGTAGATATAGTCGTCTAATTTTGAGGTACCCTATAGTTATAATACTTGTAAATATAAGAAACTAAAACCAAATTGAGGAGATTTATCTTTGAAAAGTTCTCTACGACCGATGGTGGAAAACCTTGCGGTCCTTTTGGAAGTTTGTTCAGCAGTGAAATTGTAATGATGATAAGGTCTTGATGCTCCTTTGTTTACACGGATGATTGTAGACTACAAATATTTGAACCGCCTGTGCGGATGACTTACATATTTATTTACATCCATTGATTTTATTATTTTCTGAA